TCTTTATTTGGTTTTCCTGAAAACTACTCATCAAAATTAGGAAAAGTTGTAATATATAGATCTTGAGTTTGAGAAGGGGATTCCTTATGTATAAAGGAAAAACACTTTTCATTAAAAACCACACGTCTAGAAATATATACACAGTGAGATTGGGGTCAAGACACTTATAGCCTTTATGTAATGGGCTATATCCCAAGAAAACACAAGGTACAGTTTTTTTTTAGAAAATTTATGCATAGTTGGAGTTTTCAAATATGGAAAACATTGTGAACCGAAAATGCGTAAACCAGAATAATTAAGATGTTTACCAAATAAATTAAAATAGTGGAGATGGGCAATCTATTTATTAAATATATAGTTATTAAGAAGGCATCTATCCAAAACTTTAAAAGGAGATTGGCATAAAAAAGAAGAATTTAGACTGTCTCGACAGCAGTCGATGCTTCCTTTCTATCAGATCATTTTGCTCCGACGTATGAGGGCAAGAGATTTATTGCTTAATGCCGCATTTATTCAAATGATTCAAAAAATCATTTGAAGTAAATTCACCTCCTCCATCGCATTGAAAAAAATTAGATTTTCCTGTCAAAATGGTTCTCAACAAAGGCTTGAACTTTTAGGAAACACGAGTAGAAATCAGATTTATGCCTTAAGGGATACAACCATGTATAACGGGTAAAATCATCAATAAAGACCCCATAGTATTGAAACCTTTGAGAGGAAGTAATTGGAACCGAGCCTCATAAGTCATTGTGAATTTTCTCAAGAGGAAAATTTGAAATTGATCCTGATTTATTAAAAGAAATTTTACAACGTTTTCCAAGTTGACAACTAGTACAAAAAGTATTCTTAATTAGCCATTCGGAAACATTTATAACTTTTTTATTCTCTAAACTTTTTAAAAATTTGACAAGCTTCCGTGCCTTGATTTTGTTGAATTTCGAGGGGGTAGTGGAGTTTGAGGCATGACTAACGTTGTTGTAGTTTGGACGGCTTTGTGTAAAGGAATTAGGACTACGTCCGCCTCCTCTTGTCTCTTCCTCCACGCATGTTTCTTCCTTTTCCACTTTCTCCGAGAAAGGCTTGGTCATGTGTAAGTCTGAGAAGATCATATAGTGAAAAACGTCAAGTACTTGGGACCAGAAAATACCATGCTCAGAAGCCGACTAATTTGATGGAAAATTAATTAGTAATTCATCTCCTAAATAGATTTACCATGCATGCTACCCTCAAATAGCTGGTCACGTGACATTTATGTGCCTAATTCCGTGAAAAAAATTAAAAAATAAAATATGATGCAATTTTAAAGTACTACGAGGAGAACGGAAGATACAAGTTGTTACGTTGTAAAAAAATTAGGCCGATTTTATAAAATTTGTTCTTATAATTACTTAAAAATTTAAAAGTTTCATTGTAAAAGTTTGTGTGGATTATGATAAATTTTAATACATTTCGTGAATTTTAAGTCAATTTACAGTGATATCCACATTTCTGTAAGATTTAGACACTCATATCCATATTTATATAAATATTTTCATCCTTTCAATCACTTATTTATACTTTTAATTATAATTTAAGATTATTCATAAAATACGTAACTCGTGTTTTTTTTTATAATGCTGCAAATATTTATATACTGCCGGATTAAATAGATAAATGTGTCTCTTTCCTAAGTCAACGCCCCATTATTACCAAAACAAATAACAATATTATCCTCTGCGCAATATATATATATATATATTATCTTGGATGCGATTTATAATTAGTTAGTTAAAAGTTCGTTATAATAAATGACATTCTTGATAGGTTTAGATAGTGGTCAATGTTAAAGGATTCATTTTAAAAACAGAATATAGTAACTATGTTTAGCTCTCCTATAGTTAGGAACTAAAAAGAGTATAATGCATTTTCATTCGTCTCTTTTATGTAATTAATGTAATACGTACGTTTCCTTGACCCTTTTTTTGGTTAATCAAGAAAACTTTTTAGGCGTGATACAGGAGGCGATGAAGATCAATATATTATAATTTATACTCGTTAGAGCTAGATTCCAAAGTGGCATCAATATACATAATATTTTCACGTTTGTGCAATGTTGTTTAATATTTTAATGCGCGTCAAGTAGTGCGCATAATTTCCATGGAAACAACCTGTCCAATTATTCTCTTGTTAAAAAAAAGGTTTCTAATTCTTTATTCACAATCTGTCAAAGTATGACTTTTTTGGATCACACCTCTTTCATTATTCAACCGTTGATTTCCAAATGATCGTTCACAAATGCTCATTGGAAAATTATATTAATTTCCTTTTACTCGTAGAAAAGAAAAATTACTTGGAATATTTCCGTCCATGTCTTTACTGTTTAGAAGTCCTAAAACGTACTAATGAAAACAGAATGTTTTGATAAAGGAATGAGACGATTTGAAGCGGGGTGGTCTTCCCACTAACTCGTCTTAAAAATAAAAATAATTACTATATTCATTTTGTGAATCCACATAAATTAATGTGGTTATGGGTGGATTTTCCCATCACGAATTTAGGGTATTCACGGTACCCTATTTACTTGATTAATTATTTTTATTATGAAATAAATAAATAAATAATTATACAATATAAATATACAAAATATTAAGTTAAAAATAAAAGAAAAGTAGTTTTAAAATTTTCATATATTATGTAATATATTATACTTAAAATTATATATTATAGCATGTATATATTTAATTTAAAAATAGAATATAATTAAACGCTGCGGAAATGAGAAATCAGGTCAGCGACTTCTGAACTCATTCCATCATGCGACCCACCACAGGTTAAAATGTTAACCCGTTTACAATCATCATGTTTAATGCATGTCTCACGAATAAATAGTTTAAACTGGTAAAATCGCCATCCCGAATTACATTGATTAAAATGGGGTTTTTATAACTTTTAATTACGTTAGTTATTAAGAGTAAGATTTTCCCTTTTCAATAAGTAAGGCGGTATGGGCATTAATGACTTTGAGATTAGCCCACGTGAATAAATGAGCTCATAAGGGGTTGCTGCGGCACCTCCACCACTCTATTAATAATGTAGGCAATAATGTAGGAAATCGCAACTAGTATATAATATATATATATATATATATATATTTATATAAATGTGTGTGCACTTAAAAACTGGACACCGATTCTTTAACTCAAATGTTTGGATATATATGTTACACCATGGTCGCGAGATCGGCCACCCTCTTGAATGACAGACGCTGAGGACTGCTCGCAGAGGATCGGACGCTGGCGTCGAGGGAGCGTCACTATCTACGCCGAGAGACCATGCGCGGGAAGGGGCGCCGGCCGCGATGCCTCGGTGCTCTGAGGCCACGGCGCCGGGGTATCACCGTCGTACCCTCTACCAGCTGTCTTGTCAACTCGAGGAGGGAAGTGCTGATTCGACTGCTACTGCAAAAGTCAGACGGTCAGGCGGCAGATAGGAAGGATCAGCTGCATTCCCCGGGATAGTCATCATGAAAATCCACCTACCTCGCGATTACCGAGGACAGAGGATGGCTTCCTCCTTGGGAACGGAGAATACACGTTCACATGAAAAGGCCTATAAATAGGGCCAATAAAACCCAGGAAAGGGTTAGACACCACTTCATTGTAAAAGAAAGAGAATTTGTAACCAGTTGAAAGATTAGTGCATGCACAAGTGGATTAGGCAAAGAATTACTGCCGAACCACTATAAAATTGTTGTCTCCTTTACATTATTTTTCAGTTTTCATCTCTGATTGAACCGTGAGTGTTTTTGGGAGAGGTAACTACGAGTTGTCAGAAAACACCGTCAACAATTGGCGCTAGCCTAAAGCCCAGAAATTCAATCCAGTTTTTAACCAACTATGCCTCCCAGAAACGCACGCTTACTATCGGCCAACCCGATAAGCCAGGCGACTCAAAACCTCGCCGCCGCTGGGACCTCCACGAATTCGCTCCCACCGGCTGCCGAAGGCCCCCCAGACCGTATCGACCAGCTCCAAAGGCAGGTCGAAACGCTGGCCGCAGCCGTAGAAAGGATGGCTACGGCCCTCGCCGGGCAGAATCAGGGGCAAAACCCAATGCCCTCGCTCGAAGACGCGCCGATGAACCCGGTGAACGCCGCTGTTGGGGGCCAAGAGATTGGCGACCAACGCGGTGACACCGAGGAAATCGGTGATAGTCGAGCCAATGATCCCCATCCGACCAAGTCGAACAGGTCTGTCGGGAGCAGACAACGGGCGGCACGGAGGAGAGCGCGGGAGAAGGCTGCGGCGCAGGCTGTGAATAACAGGGATGCGCCCCCTCGACCGCAACCGGACGCGACTAGGAGGAACGCCGTCGCCGTTAAGTCTTCATCTGTGCATGGCGGAGACCTCAGGACGAGGCTCGACGCCCGACGCGGGAAGGTTGTACAGCTGCCAAGAGAGGAAGAGCTCGCTGCGGATAATAAGGCCTTGGTCGAAAAAATGGCTAGGCTGGAAAAGCAGATTGGTAGTCGACTGAACAACTTCGAACAAGTTGTTGGGAAGGTGGCCGAGGCGGTCAATGTCGACGCCAAGATGTACACGTCTCACGACCACCCGTTCACGAAAAACATCATCCGGGTGCCGCTTCCCAACAGGTACAAATTGCCCCCCATCCCGCTATACGATGGAAGGAGTGACCCGGACGACCACTTGGAGGTGTACACAGGACACATGGTCCTGCATGGATACCCCGAGGAGGTTATATGCCGGGCATTCAGGAATCACCTCTCTGATTCCGCGAGGAGATGGTTCAGATCCCTGAAACCAAACTCCATCACCAACTGGGATGATCTGAAGAACGCCTTTTTGACTCAGTTCATAGGTGTCAAGAAATACATCCCACCAAAATAAAACCTCTCGAGAGTGTACCAGGGACCTAATGAGTCCCTGAAGGACTGGATAGCCCGGTTTGGGGAACAGGTAGTCGCCACTGAGGGAATCTCTGACGAAGTGGCCTTGATGGGGGCGCTGTCGATGAAAAAGGACATCCCTTACAGCACAGACCTCGACCGGAGACCGCCCCACACCTACCAGGAATTCTTGACGAGGGCGCAGGGGTTCATCAACGCCGAGGAGGCAAAGAAGGCCTTGAAGAGCAAGGCAACAACCCCTGCCAAGAAAGAGGTGAGGCAGGCGAGCAGTCAGAACAACGGCAAGAAGCGCCGAGGTCCCCCTCAGGTGCAAGCTGAGCAGAGGTACAACCCGGCTCTGAGTAGTAGGGCCGGCAACGCCTCGACCAGCCAGGGGGAAAATAAGCGGCCAAAGACGCAACGGTACGACGCCTACACCCCCCTGACTATAGGGATCGAGGACGTCTACCACGAGATCAGTCATCTCCAGGTTCTGCGTCGACCACCACCGCTAAAGTCTGACCCTGCACGGAGGAACCAGAACAAATATTGTCGGTTTCACGGCGAGAGCGGGCACACTATAGCCGAGTGCTATGACCTCAGAGACGAAGTCGAAAGGTTGATCCGAGAAGGGAGGCTCAGCGAATACCGAGCCGACCGTCGGAACAACAACAACAGGCGCAACAGCGATCGACGGGACGAGCAGAGGCATGATAACCCGCCCGAACCAGTCAGCGTAATAAGAACAATCTTCGGCGGACCATACCTCAGAGGCACCTCCCGACGCGCGCAAAAGGAGTACGCTAAAGAGGCAAAAGAGAAGTTCAGTCAAAGGGTGATGAACGTCTCCGGACGCGAGGCTAAGGCAGCGCGATATGAGGATGCCGAGATCACTTTCTTGGAGGCCGACGTAAGGGGGGTACACTTCCCCCAGAGTGATGCCTTGGTTGTCGAGGCCATGATCGGTAACCATACGGTCTGTCGTATCCTGGTCAACAACGGCAGTTCCGTGGACATCTTGTACGCGAACTGCCTCGACAAGATGGGGATCCCCCGCACGAGGCTCCAGAACAGTGCCCAGCCCCTGTACGGTTTCACGGGAGACAGCGTCATCCCGGAAGGGGCTATAGAGCTGCCTATGACCATTGGGGACCGACCACACACCTCGATTGTTATATCAAAGTTTCTGGTGGTGAAGGGAGGCGACCAATACAATGCGTTCATAGGGCGTCCGACGCTGAGGGCCTTGAGGGCGGTAACATCCATCTACCACCAGGTGATGAAGTTTCCGACTCCCACTGGGATCGGCAAGGCCCGAGGAAACCAGTACGAGTCGAGGCTCACGTACTCGGAGACCGTCCGCCACTACGCCGAACCGACCCAGGTTCGATAGGAGCTGAGGATGGTCGAGACTAGGGCGGACGAGTATGACTTGGACCCAAGGGTCCCGGGAAAAGAGCCCGGGACGGGACCAGTTGAAGAGTTGATCGAGGTCCCCTGTTGACGAAAGGGACCTGATAAGAACGCTGAGGGTAGGTTCAGAATTGGGAGCGCAGGTCAGCGAAAGACTGGACGAGTTTCTTAAAGGAAGCCTCGACGTGTTCGCCTGGACCCACGAAGACATGGAAGGGATAAGCCCTGGCGTCATGTGTCACCGGCTGAACGTCGACCAGAAGTTTCTGCGTAAGAGGCAGAAGCGTCGACCCATGAACGCCGAAAGATCCGAAGCCCTTCGGGAAGAGGTCGACAAGCTGATCACGAACAACTTCATCCGAGAAGTCCTGTACCCCGAGTGGGTGTCGAATCCCGTACTGGTGAAAAAGCCAAACGGGGAGTGGTGAACGTGCGTCGACTTCAGTGACCTCAACAAAGCATGTCCCAAGGATAGCTTCCCACTACCCCGAATCGACCAGCTAGTCGACGCCACTGCGGGGCACGAACTGCTGAGCTTTGTGGACGCGTACTACGGGTACAACCATGCTCGACCGCGACGAAGAGCACACGGCGTTCGTTATCGATAGAGGGCTCTACTATTACAAAGTGATGTCATTCGGTCTTAAAAACACTGGAGCGACCTATCAACGCCTCGTCAACAAGATGTTCGCGGGGCAGATCGGAAAGAACATGGAGGTCTACGTCGATGATATGTTGGTGAAGAGCAGGAAGGCAGAGGACCACGTTGAGGACCTGGTGAAAATGTTTGGTGTCCTTAGAGCGTACAAAATAAAGCTAAACCCCCGTAAGTGTGCCTTCGGCGTCGCTTCAGGGAAATTCTTGGGCTTCATGGTGAGCAGTCGAGGAATCGAGGCCAATCCGCAAAAGATTCAGGCCCTCCTTGACATGGCATCGCCGAGGAAGCCCAAAGAGGTCCAGAAGCTGACAGGTTGTATGGCCGCGCTTAATAGGTTTATCTCCAAATCAACAGACAAGTACGTACCGTTCTTTGACACCCTGAGGGGAAGCAAGCCGTTCCTATGGACGGAAGAGTGTGAACGGGCGTTCCAACAACTAAAGGAACACCTTGGGAAACCTCATTTGTTGTCCAAACCTGTGACCGGAGAGGTGCTGAGCCTTTACCTGGCAGTCTCAGAACACGCCGTTAGTTCGGTGGTAATCCGCGAAGAGAAGAAAGTGCAGCTGCCAGTGTATTACACCAGCAAGCGCCTCCTCGACGCAGAGACGAGATATCCCCAGATGGAAAAGCTCGCCCTTGCACTAATTGTGACGGCAAGGAAGTTACGGCACTACTTCCAGGCCCATAGTGTGCAGGTCCTGACCAACCACCCACTCAGAAAAGTGCTACAAAAGCCAGATACCTCTGGTCGACTCTTAAAATGGTCCATCGAGCTTAGCCAGTTTGACATCGACTACAAACCACGGACCGCTGTCAAGGGCCAAGCCCTGGCAGAATTCACGGGGCTACCAGCCGAGGTCGAGGAAGCTGACGAATCGCCGAGATGGAAGCTCTACGTCGACGGAAGCTCCAACGACAATGGCAGTGGGACAGGACTGGTGTTACACACACCAGAGGGGCATAAGGTCACCTCAGCCATCAGGTTTGAATTTTCGCGTCCAATAACGAAGCAGAGTACGAGGCGCTGCTTGCTGGACTCCGGTTGGCGGAGCACTTAAAAGTGGAGAACCTCGACATCTTCAGTGATTCACAACTTATTGTGAATCAAGTGAAGGGCCAGTACCAGACCAGGGATGAAAAGATGGCCGCGTATCTGAAGAAGGTTAAGGAAGCCCTGGGGAGGTTCACGACCTACGACATACAGCAGGTGCCGAGGGCAGAGAATAGTAACGCCGATGCTCTCGCCAAGTTGGCGACGTCGAGAGATGCCAACCTCCTAAACTTGGTGCCCGTTGAGGTCTTGAAGACCCCAACCTCTGGAAAAAGGCCTGAGGTCGTGTCGGTGGATTGTCAGCCAAGCTGGATGGATCCGATCGTCAAGTATTTGGTTGACGGTGAACTCCCGGAGGACAGACAGCGGGCCAAAAAGATGAAGCATTAGGCGGCAAGGTATACAATGCACGACAATCTCCTCTACCGCAAAGGGTACTCGACGCCCTTGCTCAGGTGCCTCGGCGCAGAAGATGCAAAAAGAGTGTTATCCGAAGTGCACGACAGGGTATGTGGGAATCACACAGGCAGACAGTCCCTGGCCTACAAAATACTACGGCAGGGGTACTACTGGCCAAGTCACAAGAAGGATGCAGCCGAGTACGCGAAAAGGTGCGAGAGCTGCCAGAGGTATGCCCCCACCCTTCGACTGCACTCAGAGGACTTAACCTCAATAGTGTCCCCTTGGCCTTTCGCCAAATGGGGGATTGACCTCATCGGTCCCCTACATAAGACCCCGGGGGGTTATAAGTTTGCTATTGTCGCCGTCAACTACTTCACGAAGTGGGTCGAAGCCGAGCCATTGACGACCATCTCAGAGGAGAAATGTACAAACTTCATATGGAACAACATAGTTTGCAGGTTCGGTGTGCCGCATTCCCTCGTGTCTAACAACGGGAAGCAGTTCAACAATGACAACACGAACTAGTTTTGCGAGCTACTGGGGATCCATAAGAATTTTTCCTCCGTCGTCTACCCCCAGTCCAGTAGACAGGTCGAGGCGGTCAATAAGATAATCAAGGTTACGCTCAAACGACGCCTCGACGCCTACAAAACGAAATGGGCCGATGAGTTACCAAAAGTGCTGTGGGCCTACCGAACAACGAGTAGAACTACTACGGGGGAAACCCCATTCTCAATGGCCTACAAAGCCGAGGTGGTCCTTCTGGTCGAGGTGTCCATCCCGACTAACCGGGTGATCCGGTACGAGGAGGACAGGAACACTGAACTGATAGGCCTGGAGCTCGACCTCCTGGAAGAACGGCGCACGGATGCGCAGCTACGGCTCGCCGCCTACCAGGCAATGACTGCCAGGTACTATAATAAGAAGGTCAGGCAAAAGCGCTTCGGGGTCGGGGACCTAGTTTTGTGGGTGGTAACCCCTAACACGAAACCTAAAAACTCTGGAGCCTTGGGGCCGACCTGGGAAGGGCCCTACATGATTAAGGAGGTCGTTGCTAATGGGTTGTATCGACTGGCAGAGCTCGACGGTCGAAGCATCAAGCATACCTGGAATGCACACCAGCTGAAGGTCTACTACCAGTAATCACGAGAAGCGTCGACCTAACAGAGCGGGCCTAATGCCTTCTACTTTTGTTTCTTTATTTCCCCTTCCTGGCAGGGTGGAAAGCCAACTTATATATTATACATGAATAATGATACGTCGATACGTCGACCGATTCTTTTTACATAGTGCATTATACGCGTAACTATCACTTTACGTCGATGAAAGTCGTCGACACGTCGACGACGATGAGCCGAAGACAAGCCCAAGGCTTTGTTCTCGACAAGGGGACAATATAAGTCCCCCACGAACCCGTAGAGGCGGTAGGGGTCTGGCCCAACCGTGCTTAATCAAATAGCAGATTTCATGCGCTTTTAACATTCTACTACTCGCGTTGACAAGGGTGCACCTAAGCCGACTCCTAAAACTCAGCTTCGACGAGGGGGTATAAGGCCCAACAAAGAGGCCCCCCACCAAAATGCAACACCTCTTCGACTTACAAGAGGTAGTCGAGCTTACACTTAGCAAAAATTCTCCACACAACACAATAAATGGAACAAGCATAAGTGCACATAGGAAAAATAAAAATAATAAAGGCTTGTCTCGACCTTATGGCCATTACAAATTACCGAACATATTGTCTGGGCCTCACAACCCTGCAAAAAAAAAAGAGAGAGAAGAGGGGGTTGCAATAAAAAATATAAATAGAAGGCCCCGGCTGAAGTCCACTCCTTACTCGCCGTCGCTGCCCGCTGCCTGCTCCGCACCGCTATGCGCTTGGTCGACACCATCGGCCCCCCGCGCCGGCTCGACCACCTCCACGCCCTCACTGTCAGACTCGTCCAAGAAGGATAGGTCGACGTCCGGATGTTTCTGGCTGAAGCGGTCGAGGATTTGTTCCCCCGCGAACTGCATCAGGGACAGCTGAAACTCTTCGAACTCGGCGGAGGCCTGGTAGGCCTCGAGCCTTTGGTTGACGAGTTTCTCGAAGGCCGTCGAGGATTTGAATTGCTGCACGTGGCCCTTAATTAAGTCCTTGAGCTCCTAGGACTCTTTGAAGGTGTCAAGCCTGGCTTCGACCATGCGGTGGAAGTCCTCGGAGGCCAGGAAGTCTGAGATGGCTTTGGAAGTGGTCTCTTTTTGCCGCTGCTGGAACTCCGGAGATGAGAGGTATGCCTCGACCCCCTTAGAGCTCCCCTCTTTAAGGCCTTCCTTGTAGCTGCTGGACTTATCGTTAGAGATACTATCCTTGAGGGACCGCACCTTTGCCTTCTCGACCTCCAAGTCTGTCGAGAGCTCGTCTCGAACTACACGAAGGGCGGTGATCTCCTTCTCGGCGGCCACCGACGTCCTCTCCCCCTTGAGAAGGGCCCTCAACTCTACGTAATTCTGAAGAGCAAGCTCAAGGGCCTGAATTCCAAAGGGAAGAAAGAATGCGGTCAAGATGGAGAAACCCAAACAAAAAGAAAAGGACTACTGTATACAAGTAAAAGTAGTGATGAGAGTCGAGGTCGAGGCTTACTGAGAGTTGACGCTTCACGGTCAGGCGCTGCCGGTCCAGGATACTCTCCCCGGCAAAAACATCCCAAGTGTCCTCGTGGAAGAAGGTGTATATGGCCTGCAGAGGAAGGCTGAAGCGAGGCGGGAGGCGCAAAGCGTGAGTGAGGTCGAGGTCGACAACGTCGGGCACAAGGAATGAAGGGTCATCAACCTTCGACCCCAGAAGCAGGATAGGCTCAAGGGGAGGGGGTGGAACCGCCAAGTTCACCGCGACCTCGGCACCTTTGTTCTTCTCGAGGCGCCGACCTTACCCGGAAGGCCCCGCGACTACAGGAGACGCCCGTGGCTCTGTCATCTTTTGCCTCTTCGGGGAATACCCCCTTTCTAGGGGTCACAGTGACGCCCGGCGAGACAACAGCCTCGGCTGTGCGTTGACTCGACGTCCCGCTCGATCCCGTACCGGTCGTGCTCTTCTTCGGCTTGACGAGGATGCTATACTTCATCTCAGATGGCACGGCTACACGGAAAAGATGAGACCAAATTAGGGATACCTCGACTACACCCCCGGGTCTCTGCTAAAGAAATTGAAGGGGAAGAGCAAACTTACCGTCAAGGAAATCCGCAGGAGGGACTACGGGTCGACTTAGGCGAGGAAGATCTACGACAAGGCCGTACAGCAGGCGGTTCTTCTTAGTGTTGAGAACCGAGGCACGTCGACGATCGGGAGAAAGAGACAATATCTTCTCGACGCGACCGAGAGTGACTGAGGAGAGCCTTGGGCGATCGACTTCGTCACCTGCGAGTGGCAAACAGTAAGTAACATAAACCTCGATAGCGGCACAAAGATCTTAAAAGAAAGGGAAAAGGGAGGGAACCTACAGTATTTGCTGAATACTGTCTGAGTCCCTAACGGTCGATGGCCGTCGAGGGGGTGAGAATTAAAATTCCCCTCGAGGAAGAAAATTGGGGTTTCCACCCGTGAGCGCTGGTGGTCTTCCCGATGACTACGGGGGGACAGGAGGTTTGGACTTAGCATGGGAGGCTATGTAAAAGAATCCCCTTTGGTTAGGGGAGGCCCGGAGGGAGTATCAGTGCAAGAATTCCTTGACGGTTAGATCGAGGCTCAAAAATTTCCTTCATAGTATTATCATGGAGTTTATTGTCACCCAATAATTAGGAGACAACTGCGCGGGAGAAATCCTGTGGAGGCTGCAGAGGGCCATCACGAACGGATGGAAGGGCAGAGTCAGCCCGAAGGTGAGCGCTCAGGTATACACAGTCATATGACCGCGGGAAGGGTTATGAGCCCTGTCGGTGGGGGTCGGAATGATGAGGTAAAATTGCTGAGGGTCAATCCCTGCGTCGGTGAACGCCTTCCTAGCGGCGTGAGGCCTAATCTTCGACGGGTCGAGGTCCGTCGCCAGCCCCAAAAGAGTATTCGTCAGCGCCGCCCCATACCCTCGGTCCCCAGGGGAACCGGCATGCGGGTCGGCACCCTCATCTTCGAGGAGTACGAGTACATCCTTCTAAGAGGTTGAGGCTGACGCCTCAGTATACTCCTCGACTTGACGAAGCAAGGAATCCCCGCTTCCATCCGAAGATGTGCTCGAAGTCGCGGCATCTTCGGGATCTTCTCTAACCCTGTGCTCGGAGACCTCTAGTCTGCTTCGATGACATGCTCTGGAAAAAGGCAAACAAGGGGGCGAGTTAGCTCCTAGTGGTCGAGAGGCCAAAAGTGCAGGACATGAGGACAAGGAGAATGTGCCGCGAGGCCCAGAGGCACAAAGCCAAGTCTGGCGGCCTCATCGGCGATTAGGCGGGTCAAGCGGTGTAGGCTCTGCCGTCGGCACAATGTCGGTGGCACCAGGCAAGACCACGTTCCCTCCTCACAGTGTGTTTTGACGCAACTACCGCAAACAATGGGACCGGACCTACGGGAAGAGTAAGGGGAACGAAGACTTACCGGATTCTGAGATCAAAAGACGGTCCAAATGCGAAATGAGGCACGGAAGCAAGAGCTTGGGTGAAAATCCGGCAGAGTAACGACATCCAGAAAGCTCGGTGGTTAGGAAAATGGAGGCATGGGGTTATATATACCCACCAGAGGAAAAGTTCGGAGGTCCCCGAGGAGTCCAAAGGGTTCCAGATCTCGACCGTAGGATCAGATTTGGTCCCATCCGACGGTAGATCTGAGAAGGCGCGATCGAACGGTCGGGGAGGGAGCAACAGGAAAGGACTCGATTTGACGGCGACGATTCACCCCTCAAGTTCCACGTGGCGCTACGGAAATGGGGACGTGACAGTTGATACAATCGACGTGACTGCTCCACTGCCCGAGGAACCAACCGCAATGATGCCCTGTGCCTTCGAACAACCGCCCTTTCTCACAGAAAGTCCTACTTCCACGTGGCATCCTCGACGCTACATAGCCCGGAAAGTCGCGCCGCGACGTTCAGGCCTAGGGGGTAATTGTTACACCATGGTCGAGAGATCAGCCACCCTCTTGAATGACAGACGCCGAGGACTGCTCGCAGAGGATCGGACGCTGGCACCGAGGGAGCGTCACTATCTACGCCGAGAGACCATGCGCGGGAATGGGCGCCGGCCGCGATGCCTCGGCGCTCTGAGGCCACGGCGCCGGGGTATCACTGTCGTACCCTCTACAAGTTGTCTTGTCAACTCGGGTAGGGAAGTGCTCATTCGACTGCTACTGCAAAAGTCAGAGAGTCAGGCGGCAGATAGGAAGGATCAGCCGCATTTCCCGGGATAGTCATCATGAAAATCCACCTACCTCGCGATTACCGAGGACAGAGGATGGCTTCCTCCTTAGGAACAGAGAATACATGTTCACATGAAAATGCCTATAAATAAGGCCAATAAAACCCAGGAAAGGGTTAGAAACCACTTCATTGTAAAAGAAAGAGAATTTGTAACCAGTTGAAAGATTAGTGCATGCACAAGTGGATTAGGCAAAGAATTACTGCCGAACCACTATAAAATTGTTGTCTCCTTTACATTATTTTCATCTCTGATTGAACCGTGAGTGTTTTTGGGAGAGGTAACTATGAGTTGTCGAAAAACACCGTCAACAATATACACACATAATAAAATGTTCCCAGCTGATGACACTTGGTTTCCAAACATACATATGATCACAATAAGTGGCTAGCTACAAATAGCTAACGGACAAGTGACTAAAAGCTTAATTTGGCTGTAAATATGCCCCACCCCCCCCCTCTTTTTTTTTCTCTCTTCTTTTATAAAGGGAGGATAAACAACATTATGATAATACAGGTTTAAACAAATTGAAAACTCATTAAAAGTCTTACATTTTTATATTTATCTCCCTTACGGTCGTTTAGAGGAACAGATCGGATACCAGTCTTGAGCTCTGATATTGGAAGACAAGTTTGGCCGCCGAAGTCTGAGTTTCCAGAAGTGTCATATTCTAGCGCTTCGACGCGCAGCAAAGCCAATTCAGGAATTGTGAGTGGGAACTCGAATTCCTCGTTCCACACTGGAGTCCACTCATCCTCAACTGCCTTCGTTTTCCTCATCTTCGAATCACGTGGCACTCCGGCTATTCCAACCTAGAATTAAATAACTAACCAACTATTAGTTTACATAGATATTTTCTTTTTAATATATAATAAAAAGGTCCATTTTTTTGTTTTTTGTTTTTGTCAGTCATGCTCTGGGTTGAAGTTTTTGAGAGGATGGGTGTACGTTTATAATTAATATCAACATGAGATTTATTTTGTCTACAAAAATACTCTATTGAATCATGGGCACTATTTCTGAACCCTTAAAGTTTTATAAATAATTATTATAATACTTTACTATTATTTAGAGACATGTATTACCGTTATACATGATGGCAAAATATTTTATCTTTTGTGCTGCCAACGCGGAAGAACAATGAATTCAATGATCAATAGTTTTATATATACTAGTCTTGGGGCAGCACGTATTGCTGTATGAGTTGGCTGAATAGAGAAACTCATTTTAGTTTTAAACATACAGTTATAGAAGAGATTAAAAATAATTAAATAGATGCATAATTTTCTACAATACACATTTAAAAAATTAGATTTAAAAAAATCTATATCGAAAAGTAATGTTATATTTTCATTAATAAAATCAAACATACTAAAAGAAATATTTTAACGTGGGAAAATAAAAAAATAAATAAGGTATATGTGAATATGAAAAGGATATATATATATATATATAAGGATATATTAGAGCATAATTATTTCGGCAGCGGTTTTTCTAAATATAGAATTATTTTGAAAACAAATTAAATAGAAAATTAATTAGGATGTATACATGAGGAGGATAAAAATATTTACTTAAGGGTATATTTGAGAAAAAATATATTTTTATGAAGTAAAGAAGAACAAAAAAATTAGTAAAACACGTGTAACTTAAAAATATACAGAGGATTGCAAGAAATATACTTTAATAAAGACATTTGTAAAATGTATTTTAACTGAGAAATTAGGGAACGAAAAAAATAATTTTCGGACATCGGTTTATTGACTTTGGGGAGAGGGGGACGGCGCTGGCAAGGATTTCAAAGGGGAGAGGGGTACGGCACCGGCAAAGACATCGGTTTTAGTCACCAACCTAAAAATTTAAAACTGTGAACTGGCCTAGTGGCAATCCAAGGTACGGCTTTGGCCACCGCCCTCCGACTGTTTTCGGTTAGCATCATTGGTCACCGTCAGTTGTCAATTAAGTTGAACCCTTATTGTTGGGTTCGGCTTTTAATTAAGCCTAGGAATTTGCTATAGGGCCAAGGCCCATGCACTGTTTTTTACTTTTTTTTTATACTTTTTTTTTAACCACTTCAACCCTAAGCATATATATATATAATATTTGGTGTTCTTAATTTTGGGTTGAGAGGCTTTGGGTGTATTTAAAATTTGAGTGGTAAAAGATATTTGTCAGATTTTTATAATTTCTTTTGGTTTATAGTAGTCGTTTCTACTTGCGGACGTAAGTTGAAAACCGAACTACATTAAATTCTCGTGTTTTTATGTTATTCATATTTTATCCAAAATCTATTTAATTTGACGTTTGAAACAACACTTTTAAAGTTATAACTTTCTCCCAAATTATTATCATAGCATTGATCTTCATGAATTTGTTAGATTAGAACACAATATCCTAGTGACAAAAAAAAAGTAAGTTAAATTTACTTTCTACCAAAAAAAAAAAAAGCAAAGTTTAATTATTCCTTGGAGCAGGGAAAATTAATTTTCTCTTATATTGGACATACCTTTACAAAAAAATCAGGAGGAGAGAATCGATCAAAGTGAGTGTGGCGGAAATCTGAATGCCACCCTTCACCCATATATACCTTTACCTGCATGCGAAGTAAAATGATGGTACGCAGTTCATTTACAAAATGGTAATATATATATATATTATATTTATATAAATTAAATTATGCAAAGTGGTAAAATTGTAAGTTTTGGTTTAGATTTGAATGGCACCTGTAGAGTTTTCTTAACTGGTAAGATTTCTTTAGGATCAAAAACCTCATTCTCTGGACCAACATTGAGTAAAAAGTCTGGCTTTTTGACATAACCACACCCGCCGTTTGATCTGAACATTCCTTGCATGATCCAAAGGTACTTCCCGTGTCCCTTTTTATTGAAAATAATATTTTTAAGTGAGAAAAATCAAGTCAATATGTGCGCTATAGACGGCCGGGAGCAATTTAAGTTCCCTACTCTATAAAAAGCCTTTTTCCTTGTTTGAAACGATTGAATAAATCTTTTGCAAAATGAATGAAATGATATGATCACTAACTAGTTTCATAAACTATTGAGTTAGTAGCAACAATACATCCATGAACTTGATTTTAAAGTGTGGCAATTTTATCCCCAATCCAATTTATGAGCAAAAATCTTCCTACACTTCAAATTTAGTGGCAATTGTGGTAAAATTTTTAACTTTAAGTTAAAAGTAGAAGGAAGTATGCACATGAAATACACGTGACAAGGATTTAGAGAACAGTTATTGAGATAACCTTATAAACACATCAAAAATTAGAATAAAAACACATCCGACTTGAATGCTGCTCCTTCCGCCACAGATGGTGTCCATGGAAATATGTGATACACACACACACATATATATGTATATATTTGTGGTTTTTTGAGATGAGGATTTTGAGATTACATTGAAAAAAGAAACAGAGAAATAGAGTTGATTTTCCATTTGTCTCTCAAGAGTAATCACATGTGAAGTAGAAGCGCAAATTTGATTGAATTTTAACAGACATTTCTTAATAATAATTGGCTAATCAATTTTAAGTTGAGGAGATTTTTACTCATAGAATTAGATTGGTAGCCAAATTGTCACACCAATAAAAGTTTAGGAACTTGTGTTAACTCATACTAATTTTTATGTATGATTATGGCTTTAGCAGGGGCAGGAATAGTACACAAGACAGTAGTTACATACTCAGCTCGCTTTATTAATATTTTGGGGGCGTTAAAATAAATGACCATACTAAAAAAATGTACAAATTGATTAGGCTGCAAACCGACAAAAATAAGGATTAAGAAAAAAAAAAAAAAAAAAAAAAAAACAAAAAAAAAAAAAAAAAGGATTAAAAAAAAAAAAAAAAAAAAAAAAAAACCAGTGAAAAGTTCGGAAAAGAGAACCAATTACCTGCATGTTGAATGCAACCATCTGAGCTCCATGCATCCATCCAAGCATAGGGTTATAATTAGAGGAGTCCAAACGCATACCCTTAGGATATATTCTGAGAAAATTCCTCTGAGTAAACCTAGAACATACAGAAAATTTAATATGACTATTTCTTTTTAATTTTTAAATTTTTTTTATTTTTATAATAAGCTTGCCTAAACATATGTAAACTAGAATGATTAATAATAAATTTAATTAACATAAGTATACATGACAATATTATTGACATACCTGACCATATGAGTTCCGTTAGTCTTGGCGGCATTCTCAAGCTGTTGCTCACTCAAACTCAGGCGTCTGACCTTAACAGCATCGGCCAACCACTTTTGAAACTCACCTTTGGGCTTCCCTGCGTGAATGGCGATTAACTGCTTGTATTCTGGAACATCGTGTTCATCGTCTTCGTCCTCATCATCGTCTTCCTCTCGATCATTGTCATCACTGTCCTGCTTAATTATCTCAAGCCAGTGACATTTAAGTAAAGCAGAGGAGTTATAAACTGGAACATTGCGTGTGATTAAGCATTATATGCAGGGCAGAGACAGAAAAATGAGCTAGGCGCGGCGAGGCTGCTGCCAGCTGTTTTTTTTTTTCTATCAATAAATTATAATTGGGCTGGGACGCTATATTATGAGGTAGGGTAAACATAGAATTTCATAATTTAAGGAGGGAAAACTACAAATTTAATAAAAATTTAAAAGAAAAGAAATTCAGATGTAGCAGCCGCCTGCCTTTAGTATGTGGCTCTCCCCCTAGTTTACAGTTAGCAATTAGGTCATAGAATGCACCTGATCATCAGGTGCCTCATTTGGCGAATCTTCTTCGTCATCTTTTGAATGATCTTTAAGGTTTTCTTTCTTCTTTCTAGTGCTGCCGTGTTGAGATTCACGATACTCTGGTGGCTTGGTTGAAATAAGAACCCTTTTCTTCAATATTTCAGGTGACGGGAAGTCCACTAAATAGTCCGATAGTGGGCAATATAGCATATTTCCAAACGTCTTAGTCACCATCTACAAACAAATAATTATATTATAACTATCGAAAACTCATCCATATATGTGAATATGTAAATTTAGTTACCTTGGCCACTTTAGCTTGAAGAGTTGGAGTGAGGTGGTCCTCAAAAGTTATAACGACAGGATACTCAGAAGCAACAAACGCATTGTCCTTAATAGCACGCAAACAATCCTTGAGTGCCACTGGACTAGTCAGAGTCCTAATTAAACATTCAACAAATTAGGTAAGAGAAAAAAAAAAAAAAAAAAAAAGTAGAATTTTTCTCATCTAAAATTTAACTAATTAATTAGCATGTTGTATGTGAAGCAATGATGTTAATTATTTCTTAATTATCAGGCCTATTACTTAATATCCATGTCATTTATTTTGATATGAGTATATGATCTCAATTGCGAACGATTAATGGTCGAAAATACCCTCCATGGCAAACTTCCACGTCGTTTTTTGCGGAATTAGGCCACAAATCCAGTTCAATTACTCTAACACCACGTCTTAGTGCCTTTGTGATGGGAACAACGCTGCTATCGCTGCTGAGTTGGTTCCCTGTTAAGTAGGAGTTGTGGCCTGTGAATAAGTAATAATGTGCCAATGGAGCATTCATGTCATGGTGTATCTGCATTCAAAGACAATATTTCTCATATAAATCAATTACTTGGAAACTTGGATAATGATATTTCTGTTTTGTTTGCTAAAGAATAAAGACTTAACAAAAATATACTTGCACATGTATAATTAATATGTTATATAGATTTGCCTCACACGTTCCACATAATAATAATATAGGATATATATCATGCCACATCAATTAAAATAGTTTATGTGGTATGGTCTTTTAATTGATGTAGTTTAACGTTAGAGTTAATATCACATTTTAATTGAATTGACATGAAATGATAGAAGATAAATTAAAATATAATGTATTTGTACTTCGTCAAAGTTTTTTTTTATTCTGAAAGGAGTTTTAATCTCGTTCTCATGCAGTTTCCTAGGCTAAAACACCTTCTCTCTCTCTTAATGAAAGGCTCACAGAATGTCAATTAAGAGCAGTAGCTTTTGAGTAGGAATGGGGTTAGATATATAGCATTTCTCTAAACTAAACAACTAATGTTTAACTTTTTTTAAATTAGAGCAATTAGAACAATAAGATTTAACAGAAATTAAGGCGATTACCATTGGAGTGTGAGCATGATTGAGATCACCAAGGAGATATCTGAAGAAGGCATCCAAATGTAGGCCATTTCTGTGAAAGATCTTGAGATGCTTAAGACTCTCAAATATGGCCTGAGCATCTTCCTTTCGAGCGTACTCTTCTCCTTGGACCTCCTTCAGAAAGGTGACTAGATGGTCTAATGTCATATAGCCATCATCTGAGTACTCATCAAACAAATTCTTCACGTCTTCTGGAGGATCAGGAGCTCCCAACTTAAACCTTCTTTTGAAACAAAAGCAGACCTTGTAGGACTGTCTATATATTTTTGATGTTGTAGTTGTAACCATGATAATAATGACTCGGATCAGCTTCTGATTAGGATTTTCCGGTTTTCTGTTTTTGGTCTTTTATCTCTTGTTTATATACATAGATATTGTAGGCTTTGTCATCGGATTCTTAGGAAGGCTTCGCAGCAAAGTCATGAGAATCTATGCTCATGCAAAACCTATAAGAAACCATTTAGTTTACCATGTATAAACCAATATTCGTCTGTACTCCTTTTGTAACCCTGATGTGAAACACGTTACTGCATGAATCTTTATCTCACTCAAAGCATTTTTTTTTTTTTTTAATCATTATGGTAAAGGACAAATAATTGAAAGTCTTCTCATTGGTTTTGACTGCAAAGGAAGAAGGGAATTATGAGGGAAGGGATATGGGTGTAATTAGGGGTATAGATTAATTTTAAAAAAAAATAATTGTATGCTAAGACTAATACGATATGCTCAACTTGTTAGCTTGAATACAAAACATGAATAACTGCGTAGTTAGTAGTTACTACATCGATATAATTTGTCAATTAACTTTATGTATGCAGGATATTTCGAGCCTGTTTGATAAATAGGTTCGAAATGTAGTGTTATAATTTTGTGGTTTGAAATATAAAAAACTTTTTTAGTTCAAACCACTTGAAGTTGTTCATAAGACGAGCTCTTTACATCCTTGTTTAGTATCTATAAAGACTTGACCCTTTTTTTTTTAATTCTATTCCTTTTTACTCGAAGTGGGCTAAGAATTTTCTGATTTCATGCAAGGACCAAAATGCCTGGAAACCAACTTGCGGAAAAGCATTTGTAGCCGGAAAGCTACATATATAGAAACTCCACCAGCCCACCAAATATTAGTTTAGATATAAGCTCTTCCGCCTTTTCCCTTTTTGATAGATTTTATTATTATGTTATCTATATATACACATTGATATGTAAGAATGTACAAATACATATCCATGATTTGACTACGTAGTAACCCCACCCATGCTACTTAAAGGAAACATCGTTATCTCTTTTAGAATTCCTTATCCCGTCGCTTGCGTTTCAGATTACCAAATTCTTATAAACATATGTATTGTCCCTGAAGTATAGTAGTGGGAAGAGATCTCCCAATTGAAGAACATTATTTCAGTCAATGTGAATTTACGAGCGTCACAACTCACAATGGGCGTAGGTAGGTTAGGCCCAAGGGCTCCTTTGAGCTTTTGCCTCCCATTCAAAAAAAAAATCACTTTTTTTTTTTTTTAATTTGCCCACCTGAAATTTCTTAACTACAATAGTCTCTAAAAAAAAATACAATTGCACCTCAATTTTTGACTCCTAAGAATCCTAATTTTCGAACTTAAAATCTCAAATAAACCAAAAATCAACTATACTAATGTTTAAATTCATAATTCTTTGAACTACTACTATGCAAAGTGAATTACGAGTGATCTATAAATAAAACCTCGTTTCATTCTGAGCAAGAAAAAGAAATACAACTAGATAAATCAAAATTTTGATTTGAATCATGCCCTCTGCCACTTTACAATAAGTCGAATATCGGTATTTCCTTGGATCCGGACATATTCTACTTCACTTTCAAGCTATAAAAATAAAAAAAATAAAAAAAGCCTTCTAATTTCACTTGATTATATAACTAGGATATATATATATATATAGCTTGCTTGACAAAAGAGGAAACCAAAACTTAAAATCTATCATATTATGTGATAAATATACAAAGATTCAGATAAAATTAAACGACATTAATATTGGTCAAAGTATTACAGGAATTGAAATCTCATGAGGAGCCTGACTGAGTTGTACTTGTCTCCTTTGCGATCAAAGAGAGGGACCGCACGGATTCCCGGTTTCAACTCAGAAACAGGCAAACAAGTCTGGCCAGCGAAATCATCTTTCTCTGACATGTCGTACTCATTTATCTCAACTCTAAGCAAAGCCAGCTCTGGTACAGTCAGCGGAAACGTGAACTCCTCGTCCCAAACGGGTGTCCAGTCATCCTCTTTTTTCTTTGTTTTCTTCATTGTTTCATCTGCTGGCACTCCTGCTATCCCAAGCTAATCAATATATCATGGAGAGTTAGATTTCATGATCAGCAGAATAATTAATTTGTTGGTTATAAATTATGCACAAATGCTTCTTAAGTACATTTGTATAATTTATTTATTTGCCATAAACCAAATGCATTTGTATTTGTTGAGTTGAGTACCATAAGTCATAATAAACACGAAAATATTGTGGAATTCCATACAACTCAAAACTTTATACTCTTAAGTTCACATATTTATATGCTGAGTCCCACTTTTTCTACAAAAATATTAAAAAGACAGAGTGCTTAGTGGATTTTTTCCTATCAGGATCTTTTATCGGTATGATCGGTTTTTTACCGTTAAATTTAATCAAAATCATATCAAATTAAAAAAATATGTAAATTAAACGGTACTTCTTGATATAGATTGAACGGATGAAAACAAAACCTTTTTAATAGTTCATTTTTTCAGTACTTACGTGAATTTCTCACGTGTTTATTTAGCCTATAAAATATTTTCCACGTATGCTTGAAGTTAGAACTTCTCGACAAAAGTGCTCTAACAAAAAAATAAAGTAAAACTGCTCTAACAAATCAGGTGAGCTCCACAAGTGGTCCTCTAACTTGTAGCACTATCTTTTGTAAATCAGTAGGTTGACTTTGGGAAGGATTTGATAAAGGAGTGTCATAAAAGCTTTTTTTAAAATAAAATAAAAAAGAAAAGGAAAAAAAAAACTTTTAAATATGACCATTCACTAATATATACTTACTCTGGCGTAGAAGTCTGGAGGGGAGTACAAATCAAAGTGGGTTTGTTTGAAATCCAAATGCCATCCATCTCCCATGTATACTTTCACCTGCCATGTTTATTAGACCAATGAGTAGGAGGAGATAGCTTATAACACTTTGGTTTGGCCAGAAAAGCAAGGAAAAATTAGAAACTATAAGATCTAACCTTTAAAGTCTTCTTCACTGGCAATTCTGCTTTGGGATCAAATAATGTCTGATTATGCATTAAAAACTCAGGCTTTTTCACGTAACCACAACCCCCATTTGCTCTAAACATGCCATGCATCAGCCACAGAGATTTATCATATCCCTGCCAATTCAGTCAGAAAAAATTTGAGGTTTTTTAATACTGAAAAAACCATTAAGTCTTAACATTATGGTCATGAGAGACCAGGTATTTTTAACAACACATTGTTTAATTCGACAAAGAATATGTTTTGTGCCTATCATATTATTAAAAAAAAAAAAAAAAAAAAAAAAAAGAACTCGAGAAAGCAAGGCAAAGCAAAAATAAAACGACGTCAGCGACGTTCTTGACGCATTTAATTAGTATGTTATTTGTGAATGATTTGAGATAGAAAACAAATTTAGGCACCAAATTTACCAAACCTGCATATTTAAAGCAACCATTTGAGCACCATGCATCCAACCCATTAACGGCTTGTAGTTTGAGGAGTCAACCCGAGTAGCCTTAGGATACACCCTCAGGAAATTCTTCTGAGTAAATCTACAAGAATTTAAAAAAAAAAAAAAAATTTAAAGTCTTATGGTTAGCCATGAAGAATCACTGAACAAATATGCAGAGAAAAAGAAAAGGAAAAAAAAATTGCATAATAATAAATTTTCAGATGTTATGATCACAAGAACACTAAAGAATGTAGTATGTACCGAACAACATCTGTTCCATGATATGAGGTAGCCCTTTCAAGTGCTTGTTCGTTCAAACTTAGGCGGCTGACTTTATCACTCTCTACTTTTAATTGCTCCTTTAAACCCCCTTTCCGTTTACGGGCATGCATCGCGATTAGACGCTTGTATTCCGGTGCTCCAGATACGCTCCGATGAGCATCACACTTCTTTTTATTTTCACAATCTTCTTTATTGTGTTCACTTGTATCACTTTCGCTCTGTAAGTAATCATCAAGGCAAAAATTTAATCATCTAAGATGGAAAAAATGCAGGGTTACAAATGAAATTACAATGCTAAGAAAAAATATGTTTTATGTACCGATTGATTTTCTTCTTGGTCAGAGTCTCTTCGCTTTTTCGAGCTGTGATCTTCGGTTTCTTTGGTGGTTTTTTCCTGTTCAAGGTATTCCTTTGGAGGTTTGGTTGAAATAATGACCCGGTATTTCATTTTTTCCGGTGAAGGGAATTCCGATAAGCAATCAGATTCGGGATAAAACAACATGTCCCCGAATGTTTTGGAGATCATCTAAAATTGGAATACAAAAGCAGAGAAATGAGATCTTCAAAACAATACTCAAAACTCCAACCAAAAATGCTGACAGATGAAACTGTAAAATCACCTGAGCTACTTTAGCTTGGAGATCCGGCGGAAGGTGATCTTCAAGAGTTATAATGACCGGGTACGGAGAAGCCACGAAAGCGTGTTCTTTAATCGACTTCAAACATTTCAGTAGATCCACAGGAGTTGTCAAAGTCCTATATATGTTTACATATTAGATTATATACGATACGCTAAAAAAACCTTTCAAAAGAAGAGAAACATTAGATAGATTAATGAAAAATTACCTTCCGTGAATAACATGCACATCGTCTTTGGTGGGATTAGGCCAAATATCAAGCTCCACAACTCTTACACCTCTCTGCAGAGCCTTGATTATCGGAACGTCGCTGCAGTCGCTGCTCAGTTGATTCCCAGTCAAATAAGAATTATGTCCAGTGTATATGAAATAATGCGACAGAGGAGCTTTCATATCCTGATGAACCTGCTTTTTTTAAAAAAATTATGTCAAGTTTCACATGTTAGTGTTCTTGGTAACAATCACTAATTACAGATCCATTCGATCACCCAAAAATCTCTCTTTTATCAGGAGAAGAAACTGGGGATCAATATGTTGTTCTGATCACTAGTTTTTTCTGCTGATAAAGCAGGACAAGTATGGTGAACAGAAAGATCAACTTATAGAACACTAAAATCATATTCTACAAGCTTATCACAGATATAGCTTATATATATATATATATATATATATATATATATATGTATATGTACCTGATCCGGAATAGGGGAATTCATATCAACAAAGAACAAGTAGTGATGAAAGTCGTCAAGAGTGAGAGAGTGCTTTCTGAACTTGTTGGTAATGTGGTGGTGGTGTCGCCAGTGGTGGAGCTGCTCCACTATTCCCTCGGCGTCCTCCGTTGAAACGGAGTCGTCGGACTGGACCTCCGCAAGGAACCGCCGCAGCTGCTCGGCATTATCCGCCATCCGAGTACTTCTCAAAAGTCTCCTTCACGTCCGACGGCGGCTCCGCCTCCGTGATCCTGTACCTCCTAGTGAAGCACACGCACATTCTGTAGCTCCCCATGTTTCTCCTCCCAGATTCTCTCTTTCTTTCCTTCTTTTTCTCTCTGGCCAAACAGATTCTCAGCCTTTGGAGATTTATAATGGAGAGAGAGTGTGAAAGAGAGTTGGTTCAAGTACTCGAAAAATGTGAAAGGTTGCTCTGCCTTTTTGGCTTGAGACAGAGATAAATCTGCTGCGATATTTTTATCTACTTTTACATGTGAATTATTACTTATTAGTCGGTATTTTTTTTTTTTTTGTTAGATAGTTTTTGGTGAAATAATTGCAATTAGATGAACTTTATTATTCCACTCGAAAAGTCATGATATCTCTGTTGTAAATTGTTATTCCATGAGGAAGAGCTATAGGCTTCAATAAATGAGATTATTATTAGTGTAATTTTCTAGACTATAAGAACGTTATATACCATGGAAATTCCCATTTCTGAAAAGCAAATCTGATTAAGAAAGGAGGAAGAACGACAGAAACAGAAATCCCTCACGTGAAATGTTATTGGACACCCATCTTGATTTATGTCTACTTATTAAAGAAAAAAACAAAAGAAGAGGGAAAAAAATGGTCACTTCACAATTCATGGAGAAAAAGCAAGCTGAAAGAAGACCAATCCCTTCCCATCTGTCCCCGTAATTTGAATTTAAAATTTAAATTTTATTATAATAAAAAATTTTTATATAAAATTATATCTTAACTCAAATCAATAAATTAAATAGACCATCAAAAAATTAAACGCCAGATACACGTTGGTAATTCAGTAAACCATTTCCACGGGTCAAAGTCTTCTTAACTTTCTAGCTCTCGCTGAAAGCCAACCCATGACCCATAATGTTCAGTAGAACAGTACCGAAGCCTAGAAAGGATTATATATATATATATATGTCCCACGTTTCTTTTCTCTTTTTGTGTTGAATATCGATTGCACGTTTTTCTTGTCCTCTTAATGGTACACTGAATCAAATCCACAGGAGTTTCCCTAGTATTGAATAGTGAATTGAGCCCTTAGAAAAATAGTGATCAATTGAGCATCAGTGTTTAGCAATTGATCAATTGCTCACTAAAACTTAACGAAAAATGACCAAAAAAATTATAACTAGTAACAAAATTAGGAGCTATATACATATATGATAACGCGTGAGTGAATATTGACTGTTGATGTCCTCTTGTAATAACATAATTAGATGGGCCTCATTAGTCTTACAGTTTGGTAGACAACAACTGTGAATTGGCGCCACATGGATTATCGTCATACATTTATACATGTGCTGCGTAAGGTAAAATCAGCTGATACTTAATTATGACACTATTCTTTTTTTCTTTTTTTTTTTATCTCTCTCTCTCTCTCTGTTTTTTTTTTTTTTTAATTTACCACAATTCGAAAGTGCTAGCTCATTCTTTTTGGTTTTTTGTTTTTGTTTTTTTGTTTTTTTTGGGTCACCTTGACATTACTAGCTTTCAAGGTGGAGCTGATAGTTCCACACAACCCCCGCAACTCAATGCATGCGCATGTGAAATATGTGTTGTCAATGATCTAAGACCATATATAATAATTGTACTTGATTCGAATTCAAGAAAGCTTGGCCCATGAACAAACAAAGGAATTAAAGAGAGATAACCAACATACATATATACATATGCATATATATATATATATGTGTGTGTGTGTGTGTGTGTGTGTAATAAATACACGTAGAAAATGGATATATATACACACACATACACACTCATTACATTATACATACGTATATTCTGGAGGTTTTGGAACGATAGATACTTGCATTAGTGGACTGTGGACCATATAAATAATTGCAGCCATGAGAAAAACAGCGGGTAGGCCTTATTATGCTTCACCATAAAAGTAAGAAAACGACAAAGCGTTGCTTGGTTTCCCCACTGCACTGCACTATTAATGGTTGGGACTGAGTCTTTATGGAGTGGCCGAAGAATTCAACGATGACAGTGCAATGCATGGCCACTCTCATAGTTCCGCGTGTATATACCCTTCTTCTACATGATATATTGTAAGAAAATATTATTCACACTGACCGTTATTTTCAAAAAAAAGTTTGATTTTTTTTTTTTTTTTTACAAAAAGAAAAGTTGGAAATTTGCATTAAGATTTGTCGTCATATGTATACGCATCATAGCATGTTTCCGTAAGCACGGACGTCAGTTTGGCATTATTAAAAGCGACCCCATCGAATATAAACTTATCTGGAACAACAGCTGAAATTAAATACTAGAGCTTTTGGTTAAATTATGGTCCCGTTCACTTTGTCGATTTCAGTTTAAAATTTGAATTTTATTACAGTAAAGAGTTCTAAAAAATAATTACATCTAATTTTTTTACTACAGTAAAAAGCTCTCATATAACATCACATCTTAACTTGAATTAAAAACTCGAATCAGTAAACTAAACGGACCTTATATGTATTGTATGTTAACAATGTTATTGATAATTTCCTTTATTTACTAGCTGAAGATCAGTTGGGGTTTAGTTGGCAAATTTTGAGTAAAATTGCATGACACAAGTTTTTCCTCAAAGTCAACCAAAACAGTTTGCATATTACACATAGTGAGGAAATGCAAACAATATTATCTCAATGTTCTTGATTATTAATTAATGGGAACAGGCTACCGACAAAAGCAAGGATAATACTAATAATTAGTAAAAGTAAGCAAACACATTCATTAAAAAAGAATAAAAAAGGAATACCGTGTAAGACAAATAAAAACGTCAAAAGGATGTTGCTACTTGCTAGGTTTAGAAAAACTTGCATCTTTAATGGGGTTGGAAATTTTATGGGAAATAAGATCTCAATTGTACTAGTTATATATACTCATTTATAAAGTCTGAGATCAAGAGTTTTTCCGAAGTATATAATGTTGTCACTAGGAAAAGTTCTAAATGCTTTTTTTTTATACAAATGGGACAATTTTTTCAGTAGGCCTTTATACCAATTAGATTTGATATCTAACTATTAGATATAATTAAAATCGCATTAAATTAAAAAAGTATGCAGAACAAACATTATCTAATATAGATCTAATAGTAGAGATTTGTTTTCCTGATCCACCAAAAAAATTCCCTATAAATAGATATTTCATTAACCAACAGAGAGGAGCATACATGAAGATAGTTCCAATGAGCCAAAAATAGAAGAGCCAAAACTTAGAGGACCAAAAATATAAAAAGTAAATTAGTAAAAATTTCAAGCCACACATTCATGATATACATATACAAGTCATTTGTCATCCCTTATTTAACCATATCATGTGCCATGCCCATACGTCAAATTATGTATATTTTTTGATCTTTCATTTTAGTGATTATATTCTTTTGGTTTTAAAAAGGTTGTACTGATTTTGTATATTTCACGGGCTTCCATAATTAGAGAACCATTAGAACATTTTTTTTTCTTGGTTGCCCGCGAAAAAGAAGATAAAGTACACCGGTGGTCTTACTCTTATCCGTTAAATTATTTTACTAGTGTTGACATTTAGACGCCTGTATGTGAGCTATATGGAGAGAAAAGTTTCAAATATTTATCTGTTTATTGTTGCATAAAAAATTGGGTAAGCCATGACAACTCACGTTCTTAAGTTTTACGAGTACATATATAATTGGCGAAAGTTGTATTCATCGATGCTTGAAGACCTGTTTAATCTGAAGTTCAATCCCTTGTCGATCAAAATCATATTAAAAAAAGTAACCAAAAATAAGGAGAGAAAAATCGGTAGATATCAACTTTGATGCGGAGTGATTTTTAATTGAAATGATCACATCACCCAATTTATTTATTAAAAAAAAAAAAAAAAAAAAAAAAAAAAAAAAAAAAACCAAAAAAAAAAAACCACTAATGAAAATTTTGCAAATAGTTATTAAAATATTGTTTGATAATAGTATTTTGGTGAGTTTTTGGAAATTAAAAATGTAAATTTGCGTTTGGTTTGCTATCTAACCATCTATTTAAATACTGTTGGGAAAACTAATACTAATAATTGTGAAATAAAACTTTTCCTCTTTGTATGCTAAAATAGGATCTCAAATAAAATGTCAACAAAGCAAAACAACCAATGCACCAATTAATCAAAATAATCAACCACAAATGAAACACCACCAATTTTTAGCGTGAAAAACCTCTCAAATTGAGAGTAAAAACCACGGGACCCTTAGGCCACTTAAATTTCTTCCACTATATTAACAATGGGATTACAAAGTCTCTCTCTAGAATCAAACTAGAGGCTCACAACAATAATATCATCAAGAAACACTATTCTTGGTTCACCAACAATATAGACATAATCATCAAAGATGGATAACAACAATAACACCAAAGAAAAGCTTAGGTCTCACCAAAATAGGAGTACTCAAAAGAGTACTAAAGAGAGGTTAAATGAGAAATTAAATCCGGTAGATTGGAAGAGCTCGCCACAAGGATTCTCCATGTTAAATTTGAGCCGAAACCGACAACGTTTCACCACCCAATCGTCTTGCACAAGCACCAAAACCCTACCCCTTTTCTCTTTCTCTCTCTTTCTTTCTCTGGTTTTTTTTTTTTTTTCGGCTGCACCCTCTGCTACCCTCGATTCTCCTTCTTTTTTTTTTTTTCTATTTTGTCTGGTGTGCTGCCCATGTGAGCAGCAACCTTTCTTTTTTTTTTTTTTTGGCATTTGGGCTTAAGTCCCATTCTTTGTTCCAGCCCACAAATGGGGCGGAACCCAACAAACTCCCCCTCCGCATTATTTGGTGGGCTCAACTAAGCCCGCTCTCTGCCTATAAGCTTCAAGTTTCTCCTTAGGCAAAGTTTTCGTCAACATATCTAATCCATTCTCACTAGTGTGGATCTTCTCTAAGTGTAACTGCTGCCCTTCAAGCACATCACGAATCCAGTGATATCTCACATCAATATGCTTGGATCTCGAATGGAATGTTGAATTCTTGGAGAGGTGGATGGCACTCTGATTGTCGCTGTAGACAATACACTTCTCATGTTGCATGCCCAGTTCTTCAAGAAACCTCTTCATCCACAAAGCTTCCTTGCAACCTTCAGTAATTGGTATGTACTCAGCTTATGTGGTGGATAGAGCGACACACTTTTGTAGCTTGGACTGCCAAGAGACTGCTCCCCCTGCAAAAGTCATCAGGAATCCCGAAATAGACTTCTTGGAATCAATGTCACCTGCCATGTCTGAATCTGTGTACCCATCTATAATAGGCTCACCACTGCCAAAGCATAAACACACCCTGGAAGTACCTC